TGCGCCCCGTTTCCCAGCTTGTCTTGGGGGGTTTCCGCTGGCTGGTGGGGATAAGCGCTTTTCTGGGGGAACTTTTCTGTCCCTCTACAGGATTTTGGAGTTGGAGTCACAGGAGCCAATAACTCATCGCCCCAGCCCTTTGGAGATTGCTCCTCTGCCGAAGACTCCGAAGAATCCATCTACCGAACACTCAAAGTTGAGCAGGTTAGTGATTCTTGGGGAACGAGGAGGTACAAGAAAGAAAACGAGGACTGGCCCGCTAGTCCAGGTGTGCAAGGGAGCAGGTGGCCCGAGTTCCTTTCTCTGCAGTCCCGACCCGGACACGCTCTTTAGGATTGTGTTGTGCGTGGAATCCCGCAAGCCCCTGTGCGGAGTACTGAACAGCGGCTGGTCTTGGGGTCCTATAATTCGGAAGGATGTGGGTATGTGAGCCTGCGCCATAACTTAATTCTCAGGTCTCGTGGGTGGGTGGGGTTTAATCCAGTGGGCCCACGCGGGGTCCCGGACGCGTCTCTGACCGGACAACGCGGAGAAAGCAGGTCCGCCTTTCCCAGCAAGGGGAGTGTAGTATCCATTACACTTGGGGAGTCTCACGGTTCTTCCTGCGCTCGGTGACCCCACTCAGGACCCTGTCGGACCGGGTGCTCTCAGTTCGAGGAGGATTTACTCCATTGCCTTTTCCTGGAATAAACCGAGGGCACCCGAGCGGCGCGCAGCGGCTGAGGCAGGTCCCGCTCCGAGCCTGCGCGGGGTTCCCATGGCGACGGGGCCGCGAGTCCGAGACGCCACCCCGCGCGCCCCAAAGCTCTGCTCCCTGTGGAGCATCTGCGCCGCCCTCTCTCCTCTTCACCGGGACTTTTTTCCTTTATTGTTTGTGACTGAGAATCAGTTTATAATCTCATTTTTTGACTGTAGGAGTTCAGCATTAAAACAATAACCAACTAAACTGAAAAAGATCCCCCTTCTTCCCCCCATCCCCCACCACCCCGCGCGCCGACATAGCCATTTTGATTATAGACGAAAGAAAGTGATGAGAAATTGCTTATAGGGACGAGTAATCGAGGCCCCCCTTCCCCCACCCCCGCCCCGGCCTTGCAAGTGGAGACAAATAAAATATATTTACTTCCTGGTGAGGATTTCAAAAAATTCAGTCAGGTACTTGCTCTTGAGCATTAAGGGGAAGACTTGTACCTCCTTTCTGCAGGTGGAGAGCGGGGTGTATGCAAACTAACAGCACCCATATTTCCTCATGGCATGCTTATTAGAACGAGATGCGCTCCAAAATGGACCAAAGTAAAATGCCAGTGAAAAGAAACAAAGGCTATCCCCAAAGAGGTGATTTTTCATTGTGGGGGTTAATCTTCTAAGTCTTCAGGGAATGTTTAAAGAAGCAAACCAGTCAGATTTCTCAAGACTTCTGTTAAGAGAGTCATTTTCTTTTTCTTAAAATTGATTCTTGACAGCTCCACCCCCCTTTAAAAATCCCATTTGTTTACACACAGGTTAGCATTTGGCAAGGGTACACATCTTAAGGGGTATGTAGAAAGAGGTTCTCATTGCTCATTTTTCTTAGGTTGCATCAATGTTTGGCAGCATGATTGATATACCTAGTTACTATTAAATAAACATTGGTTAGAATTAACGTAACTGCTAGTAAAAGTTTAAAATGGAGTTACTCTTCCTGGGATAAAGTGTGGCATAAAAACACCGATGAAGTAATATATGAGCACTGTCTTGCTGTAACCTATTTTTAAATAATTTGCCTTCAAGAATAGCAAATGTATATTAGTGGTAGAAGTTTTCAGACAATATCCTTCCACCATCAGCAAATGAAGTCAACATAATATTACTTTTCAGATGATTAGCAAATAACATGCTGTTAAAGTTATCTCTCCCACCCCATTCATTATAAATGCCTAGACATTATGCAATCTATCTAGATCAAATGTTAAAAAGATGTTTCTGTTAATTTTTTTCCCCTTTTCTCATAATTGAAAAATAGAAAACCTCTTCTAATTTTCAGGTTCAGATACTTTGTGACCCTATTTGGTGGTTTGTAACTAGCTCCATTTCCCTAATTCTCAGTGACATGTATTTCTGCTGGTTCTAGGAAGTAAAATACAGTTTACCAAATCATGGAATAATGAGATTGGGAGTGCTTAGGGGGAGGCTGGGGACAGGCAGTGGGAATGAGACAAAGGGAGTGAAGGTTGATGGGCAGAACCAGGATTTATAGCTGTACCAGGGTCTTCACAAAAGCTGTTAAAGTCATTGCTTCTGTTTGATACATTTTCCCACATCATCAACATCCATTAAATTTATTTTTAGAATCAGTCTTCTAAATAATAATAGATTTATAAAAATAATATGATAAAGGTGCTTTATCTTAGGGTGCCATAATGTACTAGGAAAACTTAAATGTTTTCTACTTAATTTATTCATTTAGTCAGCAGATATTTATTGAAAACTAATTATGTATAAGACAAGATAAAGAAATCCAGATTCCTGCCCTCAGCGAACTAAGAGTTGCGAGTTCTGAAATAATTCTAATGCTTTTCAGGTTTTCAGGGTGAAGATATTACCTATGGTTCTCTTAAGGAGAACAGTTGATTTAGTGCTGAGCAATCAGACTTCTGGATTCAGAAACAAATGCTGAAATTTTGATTGAAAAAAATCCCGAACCTTATTTTTGAGTATTTTAGATAGATAAGAATTTCTTTATACATGATAAAAAGCAATACGTGCACCTATCTTCTTACATTTTTGTAGTACAGACTCAGCCCCAAAACCTACAGTCTTGGCAAGTGCTGCTCTTGAGTTTGGGAAGAACAGAGAACCCCTGAAATTCTCAGGTTTCTTAGGTGGAGATAAGGTGAGTGATTCAGTAGTCCTTTGTTCTGGCTCTGTGTATCAAGACATAATAAACCTCCTGCAGCTCCCTTCTAAGAATAGTGTTGGTCTAGTCTGCATGCTTAAAGGATCAGGACTACTTCTCTGAGGAAAAAAAAAAAAAAAGCGGGGGGGGGGGTAATATACAATTATAATGGATAAAAGGAATTCGATAGAGCATTTAAACATTTTAACACTTGAGCTGGAATAATTTCAGGCATTTTTAGTGAGTTCGGACTCTGTTGAAATCCATTACAACCATGACAAACCTGGCCTAATACTGACCAAGGTTGACAAACCTTTCCTCTTGTCAAGCTAGGGAGACTAGTCTCCTTTACCATCTCCCGATTATCAGCTCAGGGAAGCTTGCTGAAGAGCATCCCCATTTGGTTATTGCTCTTTGTCTAGGGAAATCAGACTCAGCTGTGAATCGTAGACCAAGTGGTGCAGAACAATGCCTCCCCGGCCTGGGAAGCGTGTTCTCTCTTCTCACTCATGGGGGCTTATTCCAGGCTGGCTTTGCTCACAAGGAAAATCATTTAGACACAGTTCAGTGGACACTCACTCACATCTCTTTGACACCCGTGACCATTTTTGTTTAAGGAGAAATCCAGTACTGCTGTGGTAGGGTGTGCGGAATTTGAAGTGCGTTTTAAGAACCCCATGAAGAAGTTTACACAGCTTTATGTTATTATCATCAAGGTCTGTCTGCTGTGCTTCAAAGGAAAAGAGGGCAGGATGGATACAGAAGGGACAACTAAGAAAACTTTTATAGCAAAGTTAAAAAACGTTCTCACCAACTCTGCATTTTAGATGCACTAATCTACTTGCCTGTTTAAAACTGTCATAAAATTATAGCACAGAAAAAGACCTCTACCATGTTTGTTATATAAATCAGGAAACCAGGTTCCAAGGTTGCTAAATGACTTTCTTAAAGTCACACAGCTGATAAATGGCAGAATGAAGATGAAAAGGCCAAATTTCTGATTTGTGATGATCCTGTTGTTTCCAGGAAGTCTAGGGCAGGCAGATAGGAAATTCTTGCTCTAGACTTGGTATTTATAGCTATATGAAATTGCTATAGCTGTAGATATAAAATGATCAAGCATTAGCAATGTTATATGATTTAATCTAACTTCATTGAGTGGAATCGACAGTGGGTACCTTCTGATTATATAATTGGTTTTAAGCCTGTGTGTGTCATGAGAATGTATATGGTGCACATGCATAAATGCAAAGTGTCTTTCTCAGTATCAATTTTGGCATGATTATGATTTAATAAAGGGTAACAGTTTTTCTGATTACTGCCCAGTAACTGTCCAGTTACTCACCAGTTATACAAGGAGTTCTGGAAGAAAAGGAGGAAATGAACATTAATTCATTTCACCATGTTGTTAGGCATTTACTTTATGTCACTTAAAACTAATAATAATCAAGAGATGCAGGAATTATTATCCCATATTACTGATGAGGCTCAGAGAGGTCAGTTTCTTTTTAAATTCACCATTCCATCCAAAGTACAGACAGGTAAGAAGTGTTTTTGATCAGCTTTTTGGTGAGTGGAGAAGCTGCATTTCTTATTTGGAGGTTAGGAGGTTATAAATTCAGGCCTGGTTCCAGAAAAACATTCAAGACTTTGTTTATAAACTGTGTTGACTATTTGTTTAGAAGTGAGTGGTGTTTAGGTTCTCATCTGCAGATACTTATCCACATCAAAGTGGGCCACGTATCACTTCAGAATTGTTGTCAAATTGCTGTCAAATTGCAGTGGTCTAAGAGAACCCCTCATGATTTTTATGTGTTTTCTGGCATTCCAAGACTTAGATATTGGTTTTATCTTACATAAACTTTGCTCACTTATTTTTCTTGAAAAAGTATTGAGAGACTTACTGCTGGATAGAACCAGATTGTGTCTTCCTATAATTTTTTCTAATTGGAGACCAGAATCACCTTGGACAGTTGCTGAAAATTTCTAAGCTTATGCCAGAAGCTGGAGTTTTGCTGCTCCTAAAACTGCTCTGCTGTGGTGTTGGGAAATTGAAGTTGGACTGTATTGAACTAGTTTCAGATTTGCAGTGTTTTTGAACTGGTTGATCTAGGAAGAAACTAAGGCTCAGGAACGTCCACACTCACACAGCCAAGTCGAGACTGAACCTTGACATTGCCTGCAAATGCCTGGCCTGGTGTTCTTAGTAGCCACATCACAATTTGAAAACATGCTGGACTCCACTTCGGAATTCAGCCTCAGCTTCAGTCACTGCACAGGACTCCGGAAGCCTCTCTGGGTTTTCCTCTTTGCGAGTTTGTTTTCTGTG